TGTGAGTCGGCAGTGGGTTTGGTTTGGAGTCCAGCATTTAGCCCTTTGTTCCACCGAGTGAGCTCCCAGGAAGCACTAGCTGCCCCCACCCCCCACCCCCTTTAGCATTAGAACCAAGACAGTCCTCAGCACTCAGCCGTCTTGCCTTCTGACGCTCAGGCCCTCCTCCGGACAAAGCTGGAGGCTTCCCAGGCCCAGTGCAAACATCGTGAGCTCTGCTGGCCCCAGGACTGGCCCTCAAATCCTATGCTGCACTGACCAGCCTGGCCAAAGCCGCACTCCTGCTGAGTGTGGACAAAGGAGTCTACCCAGGAGGAGAGGTGGGGCAGGGAGCAAGGAAATGGCCAGAGGAGAGCCCCTGAGCCCAGCACTATCTTGCCAAGGGCCACTCTTGGCCACTTACAGGAATGGACCGAGGGGAAAAGCTCGGATGAGAGGCACCCTGAATGACACAAGATTAATCTGTCCGGGGCAGGTTTCCACAGCATAGCTGAGAAGCTGGCTGGGCTCAGTCTCTCAGACACACCACCATATTTGGTCAAATACTAGACAGGGCCCTATTCTATCAGTGGAAACTCCAGAGGGAGGGGGACTCTGAAAATACCTCCTCGGGCAACCAGGGCCCCCACCGCTACCCCACACTGTCCCAGCCCCCCGGCCGGCTGCCATCCTTTGAACAAGTGAAGCAGCCAGCATGAGGGCTCAAAAGATGGGACCCGTCCCACCTTATGCTGTGCAGGCTCCCTGCCACCCGCCCTGCTGCTGCGGGTGGGGTCTGACAGGCCCGAAGCTGGAGACCCCTTCCTACATCCGCCGAAGGGTGAGGACATGGAGAGATGGGTCCTAGGGTGCAGGGCCGTCTCCTGCTTGCCTGGGCCACCACACTCTCCCAGCAGCACACACACAGAGGGCGTCACGAGTGTGGGACAGTGCCCTTTGTCTTTGCAGGTTGCATTTTGAACTTACCATTTTTCACTGCTAAAATAAATGCCCCCGATGTCTTACCCTGTGCCTCTGCCCTTTGATTTCTCTCCCCCTCCTGTGGATGACTGTCTTAAATCCCAGTCTCTTTCCACTCCATTTTCCCATGACCTTCCTGAAGCTCCTCCATGCCCTACTGTGGCCCAAAGACAGGACTTGAACTTGTAAGTCCCCGCTGCAGTGGGTGCTGATGTAGATTGGGGTTTCCCAGGCCCAGGAATCTGTATGTCCACCAGAACCCAGTCCCAGAGCGAGGGCTCTTGGTCCTGAGGTACTCAGCCCTGCACTTGACCAGACCCAGACCATGGCCCAGGGAGGCAGGGCCCGGCAGGGCTCCCGCGGCCTGTTGGTGCCAGAGCAGGGAGCGCATACACAGTGCTTTCCTCAAATGTTGTGCAGACAGCTCTGGGCTGCGCTGGGCCCTGGCTTGAGGGGACCCAGATAGAAAATTGGTCCTTCTAGGGCCCTCTGACCCCTCACAATAGGGAGGGGAGCTGTCGGAGCCCCAAGAATGTGCTGTGAGGGGTCAGATCCGGGCCTGGTAGCCCTCACTGTGCTCCCCAGCCTGACTCATCTCTGAACGAACCAGGGCGACACCCTGGCTGAAGCTGCGGTCAGAACCCACACCGGCAGCCTGATTATCCACAGCCTCGGAAACCCTCTGCAGTGGTTCTGCCCAGGCCCCACACTACAAGTTACGATACGTCCGAGTGGACCCTAGGAAGGGGTTTGGGTTGGTTGGTTGGTTGGTCAGTCGGTCGGTCGGTTGGTTGGTCAGTCGGTCGGTCGGTCGGTCGGTTGGTTCATCTCAGGCCAGAGAAGTGTCACAGCTTCGAGAGTCCACCTCGGTCCCACGTGCCCGCAGGGGTGTCATGAATGAGACCCACCCCCAGAGCCCCATGACAGGCCTGAGAGAGAGGAGTGGGCACTGGGGGGTCCAGGCACGTTCCTCTTTGGAAGGTGGTCGGTTGGAACACAAGGATGGATGAAAATGGGGCTGGCTGGAGGGTGAGGAACAGCGGGTGCTCGGGCCCAGAGCCCTTGGCCACGTGCCCAGCCAGGAGAAGCGCCCTTCTCACCGCCAGATGGCGCCACCGGAAAGCCAACCGTCCCGACCCCAACTCCCAGGCCCAGCTCTGATGCAGCTCTGCCTCTCCCAGAATTGGGCCCTGGGCTGAGAATGAGCGGGCACAGACCCCTGTGCTGACCCTGGTTACCCAGGAGTCCCTTAGGGGGTGAGGACCAACCCCTAGAGAGCCTCCACCTCAGCGCCTTTACTGAAGTGCCACAGAATGGCACCGCCCACCGGGAGTGGGGAGCTTCCGTCTGCCTCCGGCAGGAGTGATTCTCCCCACCTGGAGCACCCACGATGTGCAAGACCCTAGGGATCGGGCACCTGTAATTCCCGGAAGTCACTGAGGAATCTATCTAAATTTATCTGACCCCTCCACCCACCGCACCCCTCGTGGGGAGGGGAGGAACAAGAAGAGGAGCAGGTTCCCGCTGGCCAACAGGTCATGGGCGAGGGTCTGGGCTTGCCTCCTCCTCGCCCTGCTAGCCAGAGACTATCTGGAGCCTGCATTGCCAGGGTGCATGGAGTCACAGAAGGGTGCTAATAATGAAGTGGAAGATGAGGAGCCAGGGAAGGGGCACCCTGAGCAGGGTGGCAACCTAGGGAGGAAGAGTTCAGATGCCAGTGGTTGGCAAGCCTGACTGTGAATCCTGTCCCTGCCAGGCCATCGCTGTGCGGCCTTGGGGAAGTTACTTGTCTTCTCTGAAACCGGTTTCTTCTGCCCAGTGAAGGTGCTCATAGCGTGGCTCTCGCTGGGTGGTTGGGAGCGTGAGAGGGAGGACGCAGGGAGAGTGCTTAGTAGTGTGCCTGACACGCAGTACATGCTCAGCGAAGGGTAGTTACCCACCAATCAACGCATGCGCCAGAGGCAGTTGGACGTACATGAAGGAAGACCGAAGCATTGGATGGTGGTGCCGGTAAAGAATACCGAACGGACCATGGGCCGCCAGAAGAACACACACAGCTGTCCCGGAAGAAGGAGAGCCAGGATGCTCCTCAGAAACAAGGACCTCGTCTGTCACAGTCTGGCCATGTTGTCTGGAGAGACCAGTCTCTGGAGAAGGACAGCATGCCTGGGCAAGTGGAGGGGCAGCGAGACAGACTGACATAGGGGCTGCGGCCATGGGCCGGAGCACAGGAGCCATCGTGAGGCTGACCCACGACGGGGTGCTGTTTCCGTGGGCTGTACGTGGGTCACCATGAGTGGAACTGACTTGATGGATCCAGCAACAGCAGCTCCATCATCATCAGGGTCATTGTGAAAACAAGCTTCGAGGTGGGCCTCCCAGTGCGGTTCTGGGTAGGAGGAGCGGGGTGAGGCGGGGATAAGGCTAGAACCTGCAGACACATATAGAAGCCCTTTGCCCAGGGGGTCCATCCTGGAGCTTCCGCTGGGCCACAGAGGATCTGACGGGGTGGAATTCTAAGGACTTGCACACAGTGAGGCAAGCGGAGACCGGAGGAGGCCAACAGACGCCTTTGCTGGAAGATGGAAGGGGCTGTGGCCAGGAGGGTGCATCCCCCACAGGA